TGGCTACAATGTTTGTCTATTCGCCTATGGACATACAGGAAGCGGAAAAACCTACACAATGGAGGTAAGCGAAATAAGTTTCAGCGGACAAGGCCAAAAGTTCAGATGAGGGCGGATTCAGAAAGGTTCAGAGGATAGTGACTCAGATAAAAGTCACCGCAGATGTCGATGACTGATATCATGCTGTTCGAAATCCAGTAGCTCAAGCGGTAGAAGTTCTCAGAAAAATAAAAAGTCCTATTATCTTGATGGGTTCGGAACAGAGTACAGTAATGACACCATTGCTAATGTCCGTATTCGCTTTATGCATTCTTTATTGAATGGTTGCTTTTCGGTGAAACTCATCCCAACTTCGATATCTTTCCCAGTAAACAAAGCTTCCAACTGAGCATGATTCTGCTGTAGGCCCTTGCAGCTTTTTGTCCTTCCCCAGATAATCCCCAAAGAGAGATTAAAGTCAATTGTGGTCAAACCGATCAATGGTTGGTAAATCCGCTCAAGTTCAGATTAATGCAATGACCTGACTAACTGGGTACATTGCGTTTAAATGCGTTTTTATGCCGAAAACTCCAATTATCTGTCCTTCATTTCGATGAAAGTAAGAAGGAGATTAGTTGACGATTTGCCTGAATTTATTGATTGAAATAAGTGTCCCAAGAGAGCAGGGGTCTTTCAATTATAGCGTCCTTCATGAATTTTGCTGTAATTGTAAAAAAGACGGATTAGCTAGTTTTTTGTTAATCGGTCCGTGATGGGTAGGAATTCGGCTTCCCCTCGAAGGCATTCCAATGTATTCTGAATCCTTCAAGCATTTTATGGGGCCGGCTGAAGTCCATGTGATGGTTTATTCCTTAGAAAAAGTCATGCATGGCTTGCCTAAAATTCAGCTGATCCAGGTGGAATTCGTATGATGCAAGCTCAATGTCGCGTTGCCTGTTGCTCATCAACTTAAATCCCTTCTAAACACCTCTCCGACACAAAAAATTTGCATCGTATTCCTGCGGATTTTCTCCTTTATTCACTGCCTTCACTGTACTAGTCTGCATGAACATTTCCGGCCTGTAAGTCGGTCAAGACTTGTGGATGGAAGTTCCTTGAACGATTTCTCGTACTCTGCTAAGTAGCATGGAGGAAGGAAGTTTCGGTTGTCAAAAACAACAAAAAACTAACAAACTAAACTGGCATTGAACCGTGCAGTAGTAATTTTCGGCTCATCCAGCCAAAGTGTCAGCGATTCATGACCATGGGCGACAGCTAGCCTCCCAATTGTGCTTCTTGACTGTGCCTGGATAAAATAGGGACCTTTTATAAAGTAAGATGGAGCTTGCTGAGGTCACTAGATGAACTTTGGTGGCTGACCTTCCGGCAGGGTGTTATGGTAAAGACCACGAGGAATTCAATCACTTGAGATCTCTACAGCCCTAAAAAGTTTGGAACATGGCGCTCCTTTAATAAAGCTCTGATGCTTATTATTGGTTCTCCATCAACTTAACAAAGGTGGCATAATGCCATGTGGCACTGATACCACAAGTTCCGTTCAAAGATGCAATCCCGAATCGTCATTCGTCCGGATCGACTCAACTTTTTCCAGAAATTCTGTTGGCCTGAGCAGTTTACCAACAGAATTCAATGCATGGGTTGTGGGTGTGTCAAGACCTTTCCGTTATCCCACCTCCACGTTTCTGGTTCATCCTCGTGGACCTACGGGATGATTTTTCCAAATATTTCCCTCTTTGGTTTTTGAACACATTATTTATTTATTTATTTATCCATTTAATGAGTGTGTAATCGATTTATGAGTTAAATAATAAATCAAAAATTACATTCAGCGACAACATACCTCTGAAGGCACCTCACTGACCAGGAAATCTGAATAAATTTATAAGAAACAACTAGAACAAATAAAAAAAAGTTAAAGATTTGACGAGCTCTCCAAAAGTGGCGTTGGAGTCACCCAAAAAAAACTGGTCGTTTTAAGGGTCCACCATCCGATCCAGGAATCAATCAACGAGCAATCATGCAACTATTCGAAGCTGCCGGTTGTGTTAATGGAGATATCGACTATCAGATTGATGTGTCCATGATAGAAATCTACAACGAGAAAATCAGGTCGGCGTGGATCAGATTTTTTTCTCAAAAACAAAACAGAGGCCGATCAAATAGTCATTAGAAAGTCGCTATTTTTCGAACCTTTTATTTTGACGCATTTTTTTGACTGATTTGATGTGAGGGATTTTTTGCATGTTGCGCATTTTTTGTTTCTCATTTCATGTGGCAGCTTTTGGCGTCTTGCATTAGTAATTAAATAAATAAATGATTAAATAAGTGAACAAACAAATTGACCAGAAAATGGAAAAAAATCACTTCAGCCTATTATTGGTTTTCAGGGACCTTCTCTCACCAACAGGACTGTCAAGTTCGCCGTTGTCGATCCGAATGGGGGAAGATGGACGGTTGTCAATTCCTGGTTTACGTGAAGTACGAGTGACATCTGTGGAAAACGTCGTTGAAGTCTTGGAAGAAGGACGTCGCAACAAGGTATTCAATAATTCACTTGTTTATTACTTCATTTGTTGTTTATTTATTTATTCGTTCACTAGGGAAGGCAGTGTCTGTAAAAAAGAAACGGGGAAAACCTTAGGAAAATTGTGCGTGTGCATGCAGATTATCCCTAATCTCTTGAATTCCAGTAATGGCTGAACTTTTTGTTCTTCAGGCAGTGGCAGCCACCGAGCAGAATGCACATTCTAGTCGATCACATGTGATTGTACGAGTTGTCGTGACATCGAAGAACAACATTACTGGTGTAACCACAGTAGGTACGTCCCGAAAACATTCACTGAGAAGAAACGGTAGCTCAGAAATCCATTTTAGGTCGGCTGAATTTGGTCGATCTGGCCGGGTCCGAACGGGTCTCACAGACAAATGCCACCGGTCAATTACTCAAAGAGGCACAGGCGATTAATAAGTAGGTTTCTATTTGGGATTGAGCTGATTCAGGTGGCCAAAATGGATTTACTCTATTTTTCAGATCTTTATCAGAATTAGGTAATGTTGTATTGGCGCTTCGACAAAACCAGAAACATATTCCGTTCCGGAATTGTCAACTCACGAGAATTCTCGAAGATAGCCTTAGTGAGTTTCGTTTTCTCAGAGACTTTCTGATTTATTCTTTCCAAACACTACGTCCATACTTCGCGCCTCTGCTGGTGTACAATGAGTGCAAATTGATTGCTTCGCCATCTACTGTTCACTCAGCAACGTAGGTACAAATTCTCTTCCAAGCAGTTGAAGTGCTAGCGTCCTCTCGCAATCTGCGTCTCTTCTTCACCAGCACTACCTCACTTGCAGCGGAGCGATACAGCTATGCCGTACCGCAGACGCCCGCTGCGAGTGGAAAGAGTATAGACGCGCGGAAACCTCACAAAGTTCGATTGGGGCTTCGAGATAACTGTGTATATCTACAATTTCAGATGGCGATAGTAAGACGCTGGTAATCGTCCATCTTTCACCGGATATGGCTTATTGCAACGAAAGTGCAAGTAGTATCAGTTTTGCCGAAAAAATCGGTCAAGTCCAAACAAAACTCCGACGGGACAGCGCTATACGAAAAAGTGGTCACGGTTTGAAGTGAGTACCTACTAACTTTTACTCGACTGATCTTTCGAAAGGAGAGCTGAGTTTTTCAGAAAAGCCGTCGGTGACAAGTTGTCATCACCGAGGAAATGAATCGAGTCGCGAGCTTCATTCGGTCGATTCCGTCGTTTCACTGCCGTTATCACACGATCCGATGTCGAATTTCCCTGCCGCCTGTTCATCTCCTTCACGCATGCATACCCTTTATATATGAGTCTCGCAATGACTGAATACTGGTAACGGTACACGAAAACCTGTGCATCTCTTTTTCTCTGAAATAAAAGTATTTCTGTAATCCTGTTGTTGTGTATTGTGTGTACTGTAAAGCAGAGCATCTGTCTGATGTTCTCTGACACTTCTCGTTTCTTCTTATCGTACACTGTCTAGCTTGCAGCTGAGCAGCGCGGCGGTGAAGTTTGGCCTTAGACGACTGCTGCAAATTGGTAGAGGTTGGCTCATTCAAAAGGGAATTAGTCTCCCAGTGCTTACCTCTAATTTGACTTTTATTAATCCTCAATGAAACTCTGAACAAAGTTCCAGAGGTATTTTTTCTTGCGGTTGTTGTTGAAAAAAGTTGGTGTGGGTAAAGTCAATCGCAGCGGGAGGGGCTCGTCTGAGACTCCGACAATGGGACTGATGAAGTTTTGGTCGCTAGAGTGTATTCGCGTTGAGGAACTGGTTATGTTCTTCGAGGCGCTGCCACCCTACCTTACCTACTACCATGCGCATCCGTTGCATGTATTACTTCTTTTTCATTCAGACATTACCAGAAACTGACCAGCATGACTATATTCTTGATGTGCCAAGACACTGGGGTAGCAAGCAGTACGGTGAAAGAGAGAAGGACGAGCTGAACGGAATGATCGGTTTCTAGCTCTGTTGCTATCCAGTCATCGAAAGAGGGGCACCTGCTAAAGGTCAAGGTCTTGAATTGCTTGTGGAATTCGGGTGCAAGGAAAGATGGGATTCGCCAGAAATAGCTAAAATTTGATGAAAGAGATGAAATGCTCAATCTTCCCATTTCATAAGTCAGAAAGTTGAACAATCAACAGCTCACTCACCAGAGCACTGCTCGATTCGCCACGGCCAAGAGTGTATTTTCTCTGTGCCCTATGACTGAGAGAATTTCGGGATAGTTTGAGCAGTACAAGGTACGTTACGCCTGGTGTTGATAGGTTAGGGAAGTTCGTAGTTGCCGTTATCCTACCCATGGGGTATACGGGTCGGGTAAGAAAGAATGGCAGACGACCCCAGATAAGTCGGTAAGGTGTGAGGCAATGGTTCCCCAAACGGACATGGTATTCTTCTGTTTGCAGCGCTACTTAGCTCAGGAAATTTGTGTTTTGGAGCTGTCATGGTGTGTGTTCAGAATGACTTGAACACGGCAGGTGATGAATGAAGTATTACAAGTTTAAGTGGAGCTAATGGAGCTGAATAGATGAACCTCACCTGTTGTGACATCTACAAATGCGGAGCTGGCAACCTTGAACGTTGTGCTTTAGTAGCATAGTGGATAGCGTTCCAGCATCACGTTTACAGGTTCAAGGGTTCAGATCTGCGAAGTCTCTATGGAGCCATTCTTCCATAAAGATTTTGTGTCCAAAACATCTAATCGAGTGTATGTGATTGCTGAAAAGCCTATTCTGAAAAGTGAATCTATAGCATAGCGGATTAGCGACCAGGCTTTCGTTCACGATGTAGAGGGTTCGCTCCCTCTACGATGCAGCTTTCTTGCATTATTTCA